TGGGGAAGTGAACCACGAAAGGTAGCTTGGTCCCCAGTTAAGATAAGGCTAGAAGCTCCAGAGACCCTGAAGGGATGGTAGGAGCCTGTTCCCAGGCACCAGGTCCCTGTCACTAGCTCCCCATAGATTTGTGGCCATCAGTCACATAAGGGCAGTGCCCTAAGCCCCCTACATGTAGATGAGGCATCCCTAACATCTTAGACCAAGACAATAGGAAAAGAGACGTGACACGTAGGCTCAAGACAGAGATCTCCATTCTAATGAGGTACCTAGAGGCCTGGAGGGCTTAGCCAATAAGCTTTCCTTCCCAGACATTCCTCCCTATAAAAGGTAGCTCATCTCAGGCCCACCCTGAGAAGTGGGCTATGGTTTTACACATCTACTTTCCACCTTGACAATAAATGCCTTAAAACCATGGACTGGCTCTTTTCATCAAGATCCGCCATGGGGAGCCATGGAGGAGGCCTTTGCCTATAGAACCACCATCTAGTCTCCTGTAGAAGGCCTCTCTGTGCTCCCAGCCATAATCGCCACCAAGTCTGCAATCAAGCCAAGGACAATCCCTGTGGGACCAGCTAGAGCTCCCTTCTTTCCCCCATCCTGTCCCTGGGCTGCATCCAGCCCGAGGGCCCAGGGCCCAGATTTCATTTTCAGCTCTTCCTTGACTTCCAGCAGTGCCTGCATGTTCACAGCCTCAGCCTCTTCGCAGACCCAGGGACCCCCGAGCCAGCTCCAGCTGTCCCGTGCCTCAGACTGTGCTTTCCCACCCCTGACCAGTGCCTTGGCACTTCCCTATAGCCCAGCACCCGGCCAGCGCACGTCTGTCTCCCTGCATTCTGCCTGTGTTCTGCCTCCCCCAAGCCATCATGCCCTGTGGTGAAGCAGACTCCGGACCCACAATCCCACAATGCTCAGCAGCATCACCATGACCAGCATTGTCTTCTTAAATCCCCTCACTCCCGTTGCCATCCTTAGTCTTCTCCCTTCCAGCCTACCTTCATCCCCTTTTCTTGCTTATCTGGCATCTTATGCCTCTCATCTCAGCCAATGGTGACAGAAAATCAGGCTTGGAAGAGGCCAGCCTGTCTGGATCCAGCCCTTGCTTTATCCCTTCCTTAATGATTATGAGATCTTGGGCAAGCAAATGGCCAGCCTCTGAGCATTGGGGCCCTATGTGCATGAGGGGAATTCTTTGGCCAGAGAAGTCTAAGATATATTAGGCTTATAAAGTACTTGAAGCAAGCATTTGTGTACACACACATACACACACCTTTCTACTGTGTCAGAACTGACCTGATTCTGTTATTTTTCCATAGACATTGGTGTCTCTGGCCACACTGCTCCTGGTAAAGCTGTCCCCTGCTTGGTTAATTGCATCTCTTCTCTATGTGACTCTAAATGCCTAGGGTATTAACTGGATATTCTCAGCATGGTATCTTTTCTAACAAGAATGGATCCCCAACTTTTGTCTCCTTTAAAATCTGAGACTGTGTGGCTCTTGTACCCAGTCAGTTTGCACTGAGGTGACAGTTGCAAATGGCTTTGTCATTTGAGCAAAAATATAAAGCCCTTCTAGGTCTGCCATTCTGTTTGTTCATTTAAAAATACCTATTAGGCTGTGTGTGGTGGTGCCACATTGAATCCCAGGATTCAGGAGGCATTAGCAGTGAGAACTCTGTGAGTTTGAGGGCATCCTGGTGTACATAGGCCAATCAGAGCTACAAAGGGAGATCCTGATAAAGATATGTTGGGTTGGTGAAATGGCTTAGTGTGTAAAGGTGCTAGAACTCAGGTTCAGTCTCTGGCACTCACATTGTGGAAGAAAAATACTGACTCCATGAGTTATCCTCCGACTTCCATGTGTGCCATAGTGTCCATTTGAATACATACACAAATGAATAAATTTTCAAAACACCCGTTCTCATGCATAGAGTCACATGCCTGCAACCCCATTACTCAAGAGGCTGAGCTAAGGAGATAGTGAAGACCTCTGAAGAGGGGAGACCCTCACTCAAGTCTCAGAAAGTCGCGACTACCCAGTAATCTGCTCGAGACACCTTGTACCGGAGCAATAGCGAGGTTTATTAGGGCATGTGACAGCTAGCTGTGTCTCTTGAGAGGAGTTTTTAAGGGGAAAAACCACAAACCAAGGAATGGGGAGGGGGATGAGGGGTTGTTGAGGTGGCATAACATAAAAATAGCAAGACATTCCAAAGGAACCCAACCTACGTGAGTCAGGATCAGGTGAAAACTCTCTGTACGCTTATCTTTCTCAAGAATGTGGTCCTGCCCTGTCACTGTGGCCTTGCCCTGTCACTGCGTTTCTCAGCTTGGTTCCCAGCTTGGTTCTCAGCTTGGTTCCACCTGGATAACTTGCATTCTAGCCAGTTCCCGTAACTAGCCTGTCTACATTCTTAACTTGCTTCATGGCTCGGTTTCTCCATGTCTTTATAAAGAAAGCCTAAAGAATATTTTATATGTCTAAAAAGGATTCTATATACCCAGTATCTATAATTTTTCACTCTACAATAGATCTTCAGGTTGAGGTCTGCCTGGACCAAATGAGGCCCCGTTCCCCCTCTCCATCAGAAAGTGTACTCAGTCCTTGAGCCATTTATAGTTTACTGGTGAGATGGCTATAAATCAAAGCACCAAGTAAAAGAACACCCTGATAATATATACATGATGCTGAGAAAGTTTGTTAGGGAGGGTTGAGCTAGCCTGGGAAGTCGGAGGGGTGTCCAGGGAATCATATGGGAGTTGGGATCTGATGGATGAGCAGGTATTAATTTAAAAAAAAGACAGAGAGGGAAGATTCCAAAAGAAAGCAGCACTGACAAAGGAGAAGTATGGAGAACAGGGGTAGGTAGAACTTCCCCTGTATATGGATCTCAGATTCAGGCCTGAGAGTTAACTACTCACCAACCCTAGTTAGAGCAGAAATACAATTAGCCAACAGGTGTAGTATTTACTTCCATCTTAAGAGCATCGAGAAGTGAAGGCAGCGTGGAGGTGTGCTGATGGGAGGCGAGGTGAACCTGATGAGATTTGTGATCATGAAAGCTTATGCTGGCTGCAAGATGCTGAGGTCAAATCCAGTGGTTATAGGCTTCCAGGAACTGCTGATAGAGATCAACATCAGGAGAGGAAGTAATCCTTCCACAGTGCCTTGGCTGCTCAGCTGGGCTGTCTCTTCCCATTTTGACCTCCATGACTCCTGGTCAACCTTCCATGTTGCCCAAGCCAAGACAGAAGGAAGTGTGTGGGTGGCTGTCTCAGGAGAAGGTGCTTCTAAGAACGATGTAGCAGTGAACAGGAAACCTTCAGGGAATTCATTTCCCTGACTTGAAGAATGGTCCCCTGGAACTGATGATGCATGATTTCCATCAAGCAGGATGGGTGAAAATCACATCTCTCTTTTTTTCTCTGTCTCATCTCTGCAGGCTTATATTTGGCACCCTTTATCCTGCATATTATTCATACAAGGCTGTGAAGTCCAAGGACATTAAAGAATATGTAAGTGAAGCCTCTCACTGGGGGCAGGTGGCTGAGTAAATGGTGGAGGGACATATCCCTTAGTGTGGGTCTGTGGTGGGAGGGAACTTATCACCCTTCTCATGTGACTTCCCAGAAGTCCTGTCCCCATCCAAAGCTGTCCCCTGTCTAGACCCTAAGTATTGAAGTGAAGAAAGCCAAGAAGTATGAGGGGAACCTGAATCTAGGACTAGAGGCCAGGCGCCATGAGTGACTTCGTCTCTCGAAGCTCCGTTTCCTCACCTGGGGAACTGCAGACCACAGACCACCTTCTGGCACTGAGAGAAAGTACTTGGGTTTGAGCAGCCAGCTGACCTAGGTTATTCCCTGGCTTACTGGTCCTGACGCCCTTCCAGTCTATCTTCCAACGCCAGTTAAGCCTGGTTGAAGTGTGAGCTCTCTGAGGATGGAGGTATTTGTAATCATCTCTCTGCACTTGGCAGAGAGCTGAGCCCATGGCAATGGGGTCAGAAGGACTCGCTGGTTGGAGAATTTCAGAACTTACTGTTGGGTGATTTGGGCGTCACCAGCAGCATTCCTGGTGATCCCGAGGTTCCCCCTATTAAGCTTCCCCATTGGCCAAGACATGCTGAGTGAAGAATGAGACAAGAATGTCCTTTTTTTTGTAGGGCACTAGCCTGGTCAAAGTGGGAAGGATGTGGGTGTGGTCATAAAAGAGCTGAGTTGCCAAGTCCTAGCTCTGAAAATTTATTGCTATGATTTACATGCTAGACAAGTGGCTTAGACCTCCAAGAGCCTCAGGTCATCTTCTGAACATCAGAGTGGTGACAGTCCCTCTTCCTCTTACTTAGAAGATGTTGCTTGCCAAGTTTGGAGTAGGGAGGACTCACTCTTTAGAGGATTACAATCATTAATGCTGAGTGCTTCCAGCTTTATCCCTGGTCATCCTAGGGGGTAGGTAAAAAATATCAAGGGCTGGAGAGATGGCTCAACGGTTAAGGGTACTTGCTGCTCTTACAGAGGACCAAGGTTCGGATCCCAGCACCCATTTTAGGAAGCACCTGTGACTCCGTCTTAGAGGATCTTCCACCCTCTTCTGACCTCCTCAGGGACCTGCATACACAAATACACTCTAACACACATACATATCACACAACGGGCCCATGTGTGCACATGCACACAGAAAAAGAAAAGTAAAATCTTTTAAAAGTATGAATTAATTAATTTAGAGCTAGCTTGAAAGTCATTGTTTTCATGGATTTCCCAAAATGTCTTTATGATGAACACCTCCTGATCACCTACACCCAAAGCCCATTCCCCTTTCTTCCAGTTTCCCAGAACTACCTTCACACATGAACACACTCCCTCTCTCTCACACACACATGTACATACACACACTCTCTTTCTCTTCTCTTTTGGTTCAGCTGCTCCTAGCAGGGGACCCAGAGTAGGTAACTTCTGCAAGCCCATCTCTGATATGTGTGGGGACAGCTCTGTGTGCATGCTATAAATAGCCAAGAAGTTGCAAACACAGAGGCTTCTGGTTCTCAACTGACACAGCCCAGGCTAAAGCAATAGGCAGCTTCTTTTTCCAGCACTCTCCCTCCTGACCCCTCCCCACCTGTGGTTCTCAGCAGCTGTTCCTGGGCGGGGCCCTTACTGAGGTCTCTGTAATTCAAGGCTGACCCACGGCAGAGCAGGGGCTGAGCCTGCTCTCAGCCAGCTGGGAGAGATCAAACCCTGGTAAATTGTTACGTGCTGACTAAACTCACAGGAGCTTGGTGTATGGCCAGGATGGCAATTCATTAATTTAGAGTGAGACCTAACTGACAAGTAGAACAGCTGTTTGTGTTGGCTGGGGTGTGCACACTTCCCCATGGGAGAGCTTGGGAGTTAAGATTAGAAGGTTTCTGGGTAAAAAATGGCTTTGGGAGACACAAGCTGAGTAGTATCAGGGGAGGCTTGCTTCCTTCCTCTGTCTTCACATGCGTGTGCACGCTCACACATTCTCTCTTTCTCTCTCTCTCTCTCTCTCTCTCTCTCTCTCTCTCTCTCTCACACACACACACACACACACACACACACACACACTGTCACATATGTTCAATGTCCCAGTACTCTCAAAGCACCCTCTCTAGCTTGTTCAGTGCTGTATCACACACACACACTCATACTGTTCACACGCTTCCTTCTTGTGGTCTGTTGGATTTTATTTCTGTTGCTGTGATGAAATGCTGTGACTAGGGGCTGGAGAGATGGTTCAGTGGTTAAGAGCACTTGCTGTTTTTTTCCAGAGGACCTGGGCTCAGTTCCCAGCACCTGGGTTGAGTGCCTCGCAACAGCTGTTACTCCAGTTCTGGGCATCTGATGCTCTTTTCTGCTCTCCAAAGGCACCTGAACACACATTGTTACACACACACACACACACACACACACACGCACACACGCACACACGCACACAGTGCGAGTGATAGAGTGAACAAGAGAGACAGAGAGAGAGGGAGGGAGGGGGGGACAGACATGGAGACAGGAATTAAAAAATAAAAAGAAATCTTAAAACTTTAAAAAAAACACTTTGCTTTGGGGAGGAAAGACTTTGGTTTACACTTCTAGATGCCTATTCATCACCGAGAAGCAAGGGCAGAAACTTGAGCAGGATCTTAAAGGCAGGCTGCTTGCTAGTCATACTGCAGTGCCTCTAACAAAGAAATTCACTCATGGCCAAGGACGTATAGCAGAACCATGGAGAATGCTGTGTTGATGGCTCACTGGGCTCATGATCAGCTAACTTCCTTATACAGTCCAGTACCGCCTGCCCAGGGATTGGTACCGCCCACAGTGGGCTGGGCCCTTCTATATTAATTAACAGTCAATACAGTCTCTCATAGGCATGGCTACAGGCCAATTTGATCTAGGGAATTACTTTTTTCTTTCTTTCTTTCTTTTTATTTCTTTTTTATTCTTCTCTCATATATTACATTCTGACTGCAGTTTCTCCTCCTCCTCCCCCACCTCCCCTCTTTCCAAGATCCACCCCCTTCCACCTCCCCTCAGAAAAGATCAGGCCTCCCAGGGACGTCAACCAAACACTGCATAACAAGCTCCAGTAAGATCCAACTGCAGTAAGACCCAGCATGTGTCATCATCAAGACTGGACACAGCAACCCAGCAGGAGGAAAAGAGTTTCACAAGTAGACAAAAGACTCAGGAACAGCCCCCGCTCCTGTTGTTAGGAGTCCCACAAGAAACACAAAGCTGTTCCTCTATCACATAAGTAGAGGACCTAGGTCAGACCCATATGGGTTTCCTGCTCTCTTAAATTCCATGCATCCCGGTCAGTTGATTCTGTGGGCTGTGTGTGTCCCTGACCCATCTGGTTCCTCCGATTCTTCCTCCTGCTCCTCTGCAGGGCTTCCTGAGCTCTGCCTGATGTTTGGCTGTGGCACTCTGCATCTGCTCCCATCAGTCGCTGGGTGAACTCTCTCTGGTCTCTTTGATGTTGGTTTTGCTAGGCTCCGGTCCCAGAACACTCTGCAGGCAGGACAAGCTATAGGTCGAAGGTTTTGTGGCTAGGTTGGTGTCCCAGTCCCTCCACTTGAGGCCTTGCCTGGTTTCAGAAAATGGCCCCTTCTTTCATTACTAGGAATCTTTGCAAGGATTACTCTCGGAGTTTCCACTGCACTGTGTTTCCACCTTGCCACCGAAATGTCCCCCAAATCCAGTCATTTCTCTCAATATTTTCTGCTCTCCCAACACCTGATCCCTCATGTTTCCAACCCCACCCACCCCCAGTGCACCCCTGAAATCTATTCTATTTCAATCTCTTGAATTTCTTGATGAAGATTCTCTTCCATATGATTCTCAGCTATGGCACCTCAAAACCCCATTTGTGCAGGAGACAACCTGAGACTTTCCTGGGAATCAGCCTCTCCTTCACTATCCAGGTCCATTAATTCTCACACCCAGGTGGTGACTGTGCCCCTTCATCCTTAGGACCGTTATCGTCTCCCAACCCAGATCTCCTACCCTTCTCTACAGCCACTCCCTGAGAGTGCCTTCATATCATTCTCTCCGAGATGAGTCAATGGTCTCTTGGATTAGCTTTTTAAAATATTTATCTATTTATTAATTTCTTTTTTAAATTGGTTACACCTGAGATTGTATTTATTATCTTTTAATTTATAAAATATGTACAAAAACATAGGTTATTGAATAATGCTATTTTATTTTATTATTTCACTCTATTTTATGGGTATGGATGTTTTGCCTGCGTGTCTGTAAGTGCACCATGTGCTTGCAGTGCCCTCAGTGGCCAGAAAAGGGCATCAAATCCCCTGGGACTGGAGTTACAGAAAGTTGTGGGCCACCATGTGGTTGCTGGGAATTGAACCCAGGTCCTCTGGAAGAACAGCCAGTACTCTCAATGGCTGAGATATCTCTTTAGCCCAGGATAATGCGAAATTTGAAGACTGTAACAATAACTCCCTCGTGTCTACTACTATTTATAATGCAGAGTAACTCCCTGTGGCTACACTCTCATTTTTATATTCTTTTGATATTATTTTAAATTTCATACAAGTATTGGATTAGCTTCTTGTCATTGTAACAAGTTACCATGAACTTCCCAGCATAAAACAACATACCTTATTAGATTCCAATGCTGGAGTCACAGGCAGGGCTGTTTCTCTTTGGAGTCTCTGGAGGGGAGTCTTTTTGCCTGGTTTGTGGCTCCTAGTGGCAGTTGCTCGCCAGCACATACCCCTTCCTCATTCTTTGGAGTCAGTGGTTTCACATTTCTGAGCAGTCTTCCACAGGGCGTCTCCCTCTGACACCGCTGGAAGAATTCCTTTTTAAGGATGCATGCAATTACCTTCCTGTCTCAGTGTCCTTAATAACTCTGTTAAATCCTATTGGCTATGTAGTGGTCACTGTCCTATGGGAGCCACTAATACTGAGTGAGACCCTTTCTCAAGACTGAAACTGTTGCAATTAATATTTCACTAATTAATTAGTACTTATTAGCATAATTGAGTACTATTAATTAAGTATAATTTAATATGTTCACTAACATTAAATGGAGTCTTTGGGCAGGAGTAAGTGAAAGCTCAGGTGTGCCTCCCAGGGTAAAGATTAGTCACGTCCTTACCTTCACTGAGAGGTTGGTTCTCTCAGACCTGTGAAGGGTACCTGAAGAACCAGGATAATTTGAAACTATGGCATCCATAGGACACCCAGTCTTTTCCAAGTTTTCCTAATACTTAACCTTTTTTAAAAATTTTCATGTATATACATATGGAAGTCCCTGTTTGAAAATCCTACTTTGGTTCTTTGCAGTTCAAGGTCCAGCCAAGAGCTTTGTTATTTTTGTGAAAGATTCTTGCAATGTAGTCCAGGCTGACCTTAACCTCATTATCCTCCTGCCTCAGAATCTTGAGCACTGGGATTCTGGCCAAGACTTTGAAGACAGCTTATAGTGTCCATTTTGGGAGTTTTCTTCTTCTTGGCTTCACTTCTTCTCTGAGGTTCTCCCATCTTGAACTTGAACTGTCAGACTTAAGCTCCTTCCCCAGCTCTTTGAGATTTTGACCACAGGCATAGCAAACCTGGATTAAATCTGTGATTCCTCCAAGGGTTGTGCTCGGAATCTTGCTCTGATTGTAGACCAGCCCATTTGCTCTCAGCATCAGGGTGTAGTAGAGCAGAACTGCCCCTGAGTTAGGGAAGTATGACAGACGCAGGTGGTACTGCCTGGGGCTGCCTCATTGTCCACTGCCTTGGCACTGGGCAGCCACGACCCTGTCTACCAACTCTGCCTTCCTTTCAACAGGTCAAATGGATGATGTACTGGATTATATTTGCCCTCTTCACCACAGCAGAGACGTTCACAGACATCTTCCTTTGCTGGTAAGTGGTCCAGAGACTGGGATATTCAAAGGGTAGCTTTGCCTGGTGATTGGGGGGGGGGGGGAGGCAGGTGTTGTAGTTAATATTTAAAGCAGCATTTTCTTGGGCTGACTATCTAAGCAGCGATGGCTCAGCTTAGCTCAGGCCGCCATGTTCTGCAGCCTGAAGCCAAGCGCTCCACAGCTGAAAGAGGCCAGAGGCCACGAGTGTGCCACAGCTAGAAACAGCCAGCCAGAAACACTGGCCCTTCACCCACGAGACACCAGCGTGGGAGATGACTCCGCCAATCTCCCAGGCTGTCTCCACAAGGCTGGACTGAGCCCAGACCATTCCACCATCCACTCGGTGCCCGGTAGAAATGAGTCTTTAATGTTTAAACACTATCCAATAGCTTTATATATTTGGTAATGCTCAAATAACAAGAAGCCCACGCAATTAGAGGTGTTACCCAATACCTAACCTAGATATTACAATTACCTTAGACTGCTGGAGACACACATACATCCACTGCCATTTTCCCCTCTCTCTCTCCCATCCTCTCTCTCTTAGCTCCTCCTCTTCCTTCTCCTCCCGAGTCCTCTGCTTATCTCTCATATGGCCCAGTCGCTGAGCTTTATACGAATGCAGTGGGAAGATATCCCACTACAGGCGGGGAAGGACCTCAACCTTTCCTTGGATCACAGGAGCAGGACCTACGTTGGGATGTTACTCAGCGCTTTTAATAAACTGCTCCATAATGTCATTCAAGTCTCTAATGAGATCCCTAGGGGCCAGTGTAGTACAAGGTACTGGAAAGTAGCATAGACTGCACAAGCAGAGTTCTTCCACAAATGGAGTTGGTAAAGTATCCACATGTCAAAGAAGGAGAGAAACGGTATATAGGAGTATGTAGTGAAAGGGGCCGAGCCGGGCGGTGGTGGCACACGCCTTTAATCCCAGCACTTGGGAGGCAGAGGCAGGTGGATTTCTGAGTTCGAGGCCAGCCTGAGTGAGTTCCAGGACAGCCAGGGCTACACAGAGAAACCCTGTCTCGAAAAAACAAAAAACAAAACAAACAAACAAAAAAAAACAAAAAAAAAAAAGAAAAGAAAGGGGCCGAGCCTGCAGCTCAGGAGTAGCTCGGTCCAGCACTACAAGAGAAAATAAACACGCAGTTAAAATGCCGCATTTCCCTCCTAACCCATGCACTCTTCCCATCACCACTATTCACACTTGTATGCCCTCTTAAAACACTTGTGGGTACCAAGCATGGTGACACACGCCTTTAACTGCATCACTCTTGAGGCAGAGGCAGGCGGATCTTTGTGAGTTCGAAGCCATCCTGGGTTCTAGGACAGGCAGGACTACATAGACAGACCCTGTCTCAAAAAAAAAAAAAAAAAAACAAAACTAAAAACATGCTGGTACGTTAACACACGCACTTATACAGACATTTTTATTTTTAAAATGTATTATTCTGTGTGTATGTGTGTATGTATGTATGTTTGTATGTATATATGTATGTATGTGTGCTGCCTGTGTGTGGTGCGTATGTGGTATGCATGAGCATAAGCATCCCATAGTACACACGTGGAAATTAGAGAACAGCTTTGTGGGGTCACTTATCTCCTTCCAATCTTACGTGTGTTATGGGAATCAGCAAGCACTTTTACCCACTCAGCCATCTCCCATGGTTTTCTTTTTTTGTGGTAACTTTTTTTTTCTGAGCCTAGACTGGTCTTTACCACTCTCAGGTTTAACCCTCTCTCTCAGGTTCCTAAGAGCTGGAATTACAGGAATAATAGTGTGTCCTACTCCTGGAGTCATCCAGTCACGGATCCTTAAGGGCTCCCTCTGTCTAGTGCTGGATTCTGTCCTACTGTCCTTGCTCCTGCTCATGATCACCAAGGAACTACAGTGTTAGTCTCAGGAGCTCTCTCCTGGCATAGTGACATGCTAACCTTGCTTCTTTTGCTGGGTGGAAATCCTGACTAATGGTGGCTTTGTTCCTGTCAAGTTGCTGGACTACCCACTGACCATGGTACAGTTTTAGTTTCCTACCTGGTAGGTACTCAACCACTGCATGTTTTTGAGTCAATATAATTTTTTCAGCTTTTTTTGAGACAGAGTCTTACTATGTAGCCCTGGCTGTCCTGGAACTCACTCTGTAGACCAGGATGGCCTTGAACTCACAGAGACCCACCTGCCCCCGCCTCCTGAGTGCTGGGATTAAAGGCATTCCCATCACACCTAGCCCTGTCAATTTGATTTTTATTCTGTAAGGCATATAAGTTTGCTTTTGCTAACATGATAAATTATCACAGCGCCCATCCCTCAAAGGAACTCATGGTTCTTTTTCTGCCATTTCTACAAGCTAGAAGCTGGGGTGGGGTGAGCCGAGTTCCCTGCTCAGACCCTCACAAGTTCAGGGTCACAGTGTGGGGCAGCCGGGACTTGCTATGAAGGCTCTGGGTAGATTTCAGCTTCTCAGTCTTTCTGGTTGTTGCCTGAATTTTATTCATGGTGATTGCAGGACCATAGGTTCTGTTTTCTTAACTCCCTCCCTTCTTCTTCAAGCTCACAATGGCATCTTGATCCTTCTCAGACTTCCGAATCTGTCTTCCACTTCCGACAGAAGATCTGTGTTTGCTCTATGACATGTAATTAGATAGGCTCACCCACAAATCCAGATATCTCCCCATCTTAAAGTCAGCTGTGAGCAACCTTCATTATAGCTGTACGTCCCTTTGCCATGTAAGGTACGGACTCAGGGACAAAAAAAACCAGGAGGAGAAGGTCATGAGCAAAACCCTGTCTGTAGTGGGAATGTATTGGCACCTGGTCTGTCTGGACTGTTCCTGCAGGATGGGTAGAGCCCCCACCTTCCCTGCTTGTCAAGTGGAGGCCTCACCTGTCCCCTTGTTTGGCCCCCTTAGTTGGTGGCATCTAGGTGTTTATGAGTGGGAAGTAAGGGTCTCATGCCCTTTTGGAGGCTTCAGCTCTGCAGAGAAGGGATTAAGGGATCTCCAGGACTCTGCACCCATCCCCATCCCTTCTGTTTGCCCCCTTCTCAGGCAGTCTCCTCTTCACAATTCTCTCTCTCTCTCTCTCTCTCTCTCTCTCTCTCTCTCTCTCTCTCTCTTTCTCTCTCTCTCTCTCTCTCTCTGTGTGTGTGTGTGTGTGTGTGTGTGTTGTATCTTGACGGAGGCAGCAGCTAAATAGTCACAGAATAGGTAGGATGACGATTTGTGAGGATGACACCTTGTGGAGGGGATTTCATTGTATCCTTTTAAAATTATAAAGTGGTTTACTCACATGGCAAAAAAAATTTGAAACTATACACTGAAAATTAAGTGCAAGGACTGGGGGTGTGGTTCATTTGCAGAACATTTGCTTAGCATGTGTGAGGCCCTGAGTTCAGTTCCAACACCACCAAAGAAAAACAGGGAGGGAAGAGGGTGAGGGAAGGAGGTAGGGAAGAATTGGGGAGGGAGGGAAGGAGAAGCAGAAGAGAGGAGAGAAAAGAAAAAAGTAAACCTGTGGGATGGGGGTACAGCCTCGGTGGAAGAATGCACACTTAGTATGTGTGATGCCCTTGATTCAATCACTGGCCAACTCTCCCTCAAAATAATGAGCCCTTCCTCTCCCCGAGACCAACCATTGTCTACTTAGGGTTATCACTATGAAAAGTTACCTGTGTTTTCTTCTAGAAACACTGTACAATTAATTGCATGTATGTGGGTGGTTTCGTCCTAAGTCCAGGGCTCTTGTGAAAGTCAGGCATCTCTCCAGAGCTTGTGGAGACCACAGTTACCCACGTCCTTCAAGGCCACCTTAGAAGTGACTGAGGAAGTGGGGGCAGGTTTCTCTTCAGATACATACTGGGGGTCCTGGTTCTTCAAGGGCATCTTAGCATGCATCCGTTTCTACCCCTGGGATGATGACTAGGATGTTAGGATGGGCTGCAAGCGGACAACTTAGTTGTTAGGCCGAGATTGTGATAGCAAAGCCAACCTGAAGGATCTTGTGACACCTGGCTAGAGCCTAGTGGTCAATTATTCTGGAGGTGTCAGCATCACGTGTGTGTGTGTGTGTGTGTGTGTGTGTGTGTGTGTGTGTGTGTAAAGGGTCAGATTTGGAAATATTTTGAGCTCTGAGACCTGTTTATTATAGCTTCTCAGCTGAGCCATGGTAGCATGACAGCAGCATAGACAATACCTAAATAAGTGGATAGGCAGTGTTCTAATAAATCTTTATTCATAAAAGCAGGTGGCAGGCCTTGGCTCGTGATCCATGGGTTATTGTAGCTCTTGAATCTATTCTAGCAAACAATAGAGACTTGACTAACTTAAGAATAACTCACAAATGGGAAGAAAAGAAAGTTCTGAAGGGGGAGCAGAGAGCTCCTCAGAGAATACCTCAGAGAGCACCCCAAGGCCCTCCCACTGAAGCTTAGGGACTCCAGCCACTGCCTGTTGCCTCCTCTCTGGTGACTGTGCTATGCTGTAGACCTTCTTGGTTCCAAATTTCACTCTCCTGTGATTTAGATATGACTTGACACTAGTACTTAGTACTTCTTTAGTAGTAGTTCTTAGTGTTGTGATCTAGAGATTTGTTAGTATAAACAGGACCGCCACAGGTCTGTCCCTCTCTGTATAGAATGAAAGAAGGGCATCTCTACAGAGCTACCATGAGTGTTTACAGAGCCCGGTGTGCAGTCTGCCCAGGCCCCTAGCACTGTGTGCAGCCTTCGGGAGCATGGACACCCAGTCAGGGCATTTACCATCCCATGGAGGTGTGGGTGCTAGTACCCCCATCTCATGCTGCCCTTGACTGAAGTGGGTGGCCTTTGCCTCTTGATCCCTTCTTTAAGATTGAAGTCTCGTACTCCTCTTGTGTAGTATGTATGCACATCCCCCTCCACACATGTTCGCCTCTGCCTTGCCTTTCTTCACCAAGGCCTTTCCTTTATCCTTCCACTCATTCTTGCTTTTCAGTGTAGGACCTCAAGAACAGCTCCC